ACATCCGTTCCTGCCGTTTTTCCGCACAGATACCGCGCCCAAAGGTCAGCTGATGGAGTACCCCGCAGTCCAGGACTCGCGCTCGGCGCGGGACCGGTTCACATCTGAGGAGGCCAAAGCCAGGGACACTGCCTACGAGGAGATTCACACCGAGCTGCGTATCGGCGCCGAGGCACACAGACAGGTCGGTGGCCGCGAGCTTTACTCGCCGCTAGTTACTCAACGCGTATATGACTAATAAAAACGTCAGGTAGGCCCGACTCGCGTTCAGAACTGCCTGCTTCATTGAACTAATATGAATAAGTCGTGACGACGGAACTGGTCCCCCACTGATACAGTTGATAAGGTTTTAGCATACATGTACTGCTCAATAAACAGCTGATTGGTTTACTCAATACCCATCTGTGACAGATTTTCGTTCAGCTTATCAAATCCCTCACGGCTTGGTTTCTCTCACAGACAAGGCAGTATATGCAGAAATGGATCAAGCCAGGGATGACCATGATCGAAATCTGCGAGAAACTCGAGAGTATCGGCCGGGCCACGATCGTCGAGAACGGTCTCAAGTCTGGCCTGGCGTTCCCCACGGGGTGTTCCATCAACCACTGCGCTGCGCACTACACGCCTAACGCCGGCGACAAGACGGTCCTCCAGTACGACGACGTATGCAAAATCGACTTCGGCACACACATCAACGGTAAGTTTTTCTGTGTCGGCGGGTCCAATGGCTAAAGACAGTTGTGAAGTAGGTCTTAACAGCTGAATGATAGCATGGGAGTGAGCTAGAACACTAGTGACACACATCGTGAGAAATGCTGTGGTGGGATGGTGGGTTGAAGCAGTGTTTTACCGTATACTGACGGCCTCCCCGATCCCCGACAGGTCGCATCATCGACTGTGCGTTCACGTTGACGTTCAACCCCAAGTACGACCGGCTGCTGGATGCCGTCCGGGACGCCACCAACACCGGTATCAAGGTGGGTTGGTCAGAGAGTCGCGCATACGCGGTGCGGTGGTGGTGCGGGCCGCCCATTTGGACTATATATTGTAGATGGCGTTTATGCCTCCGGTATGCCTTATGTTATCCGTGGAGGGGAGTCACGAGTCAGCATACATTTTGTGCCACCACTGACCCACTGCCAGGTGTGCAACTTCAGCTCTTCTCTCGTATCGTTACGATGGTTGGGAAGGGTCCAAGTACCTATTGTCTCTGTTGATGTGTTGGAATAGGTGCCTGCGTCGATAGTGTCCTGGGATACATGTTTAGGCTGAGAGTTTGACCGGTGTTGATACATTTGATGACGTTATGTTGTCTTTTATGTGCCGACAGTGCGCTGGTATCGATGTCCAGCTGTGCGACATCGGTGAAGCCATCCAAGAAGTGATGGAGTCGTACGAGGTTGAACTGGACGGTAAAACGTACCAGGTGAAGTCAATCCGCAACCTCAACGGCCACTCCATATCGCCATACCGTGAGTAATTGCACAATACGTACCTAACTGTACATAAACGACAGCGGTAATGTACGAACATGGAGCCCTTTCTAACTTACCCCACGTTCGATGTCTCTCGGACGACGAAGATTCTACGTCGGCCGGCCAATCCCGTTCAAGGTCAGTGGGGGCTCGGCTGCGCTTATGGAACGTGATTGGCCGGACGGCATAGAATCTTCGTCGTCCGAGAGACATCGAACGCGGGGTTAGTGTCTGTTGGCTCAACGTAAGGAGTGTTATGTTTAATTTCTTGATGGCTTACGTATCAGGCAGTCTGGTGTAATAGCACGTCCCCGAGCCCTCGTGTTCCTCACACTGTCCCTCCGCCCGTGTCGGTTGGTGCAGGTATCCACGCCGGTAAGACGGTGCCGATCGTCAAGGGCGGTGAGAAGGAACGGATGGAGGAGAACGAGGTTTACGCCATCGAGACGTTCGGCAGCACCGGCCGCGGCTTCGTCCACGAGGACATGGAGTGCTCGCACTACATGAAAAACTTCGACGTCGGCCACGTGCCGCTGAGGTGAGCTGGGCTCGCTGCTGACTGGGTGAGGTGGATATAGTGGTATTGTGATTGGTTGAGAGTGGTGGGACAATAGATAGAACAGGAGGGAGGCTTAGGGGTATGGGTGTAACGGGCTGTGGTCGGACAGCCGAGTACATGGTAGGGATGCAACCGGGGAGATTATTGTGGATATGGATAAATATGACTGGTTGATATGACGCCAGTGTCTTTCTTAGGGGTGGGGGTGGACCCACGTGAACGCTGCCGTTTCAGCTGACCCGTCTGCCATAATCGCCGGTAACCGATGTTTCTCCGCCCCCATAGACTGAACCGGTCAAAGCAACTGCTCAACACCATCAACCAGAACTTTGGCACCCTGGCGTTCTGCCGGCGCTGGCTGGACCGGCTCGGCGAAACCAAGTACCTCATGGCGCTCAAAGACCTCTGTGAGAAGGAGATTGTGCAGGCGTACCCGCCACTGTGTGACGTCAAGGGCAGCTACACGGCCCAGTACGAGCACACCATCGTGCTGCGACCCACCTGCAAGGAGGTGGTTACTCGCGGGGACGACTACTGAGCGCCGGCGCCGCGCGGCGGCGGCTCAGAGCGACTTTTTTAATCCCCACTGACGGCGGAGTTTCGCGGGTGTTTTTGCTAACACTGAGACGTTGACGGACGGCGGATCGTGTGTATGATAGACTGGCTGATTGTGCGCCGGGGGCGGCGCGGCGCGGCTGGTCAGCACTCTGACGTCACGCCGTCGGGGTGCCTGTCAGTTGTCCGATACCGGCTTGTTGACGTTAATAAAGAGCTGGTGTTTGGAGCAGAGTTGCTGTCGGTCTGTGGCTGTGGGGGGTTGTATGTCGGGTGGCCCTGCGGAGGTCATGTCACACCGGGCTGCCGGCTCTGACGGGTAAATTGGTGCAGGTGGCGGGGCGGGCGGCGAGCGCCGGCCTCTTGAGCAGCTGGGGAGCAGCGCCGGTAGGGATGGCTCGTGTGACAGGCGTCCTCTGGGTGCTGGCCGCCGGTGAGTTGGTCTTCGTGCGGCTGCGGTTTGTGACTGAGCGCTGGTCTAGGTGCGAATGGTGAGATTGGGTCTTTCCCCGGCTATTTTCTCGGTGACAATGGATTCTCGTCGGTCTGGCTGGTTGGCGGGACTGGATCGTGCAGTAGCTGTGGCTGGTAATGTGCTCAAGAAAAACAACTTTTTTACGGGAACGCTTATACCAAGCTAAGGTCACCTGACGATTAGTTTTTTTTTTTTTTTTAGTTCTCACTCATGGGATGTCATAATGTAGCGTTCGAAGAACGATCGTTCCCTGACAATGGCTGCATTATTGAACGTCATCAGTCTCACAGCTCCACCGTTCCCTCTCCGGCACCGTCCTCAGGACTGTGCGTCAGTCTGGCGTCGGCGGGCATGCGGACGTCCTCGCTGACAATGGGGAAGGCCACGGTGACCAGCTCCTCATCACGCAGTAGCAGCAGCAGCAGCAGTAAGAGCGGCAGGTGGCCGGGCGGCCGGCCGCCGCAGCCGTCCATCACCCGGCTGGTGAAGGAGTACGCCATCCCCAGCGGTCAGGCGGTGATGACCACTCAGGTCATCCACGGAGAGGGCGTCTCCGGCATCACAGAGACCATGCAGATCACACAGGTGGGTCGGTGGGCGCTGCTGGGGCACGGACTCAGCATTCCCCTCCCGAAACTCAAATCTGCGTAAGTCGCCAGTAGCTAAGCCTCTAGTAAGCCGTCAGATTATAAAACCTCCTTTGTCTGCACATCTGAGCGTAAGAAGTTACCAACGTATCGGTAGCGCCATGTTTTTTTTTTAAGCGGACGCTTTCAAGAGGTCGTATTGTATGATGTTCAAGTGTCCATCCGATAGACCCCGGCTGAAGTGCATAAACAAGGCTCCGATCCCAAGCACTCATCTCGATACCGATACGGATACGATACGACGTCTAACTGCGCAGGATACCATACACCCTATCTCACTTCTTCACATGTTCAACCCTTCGACAGACAAAGAAAAAGAAGAAGTTCGTGTCGACGTCCACCAGTCAGATCGGTAACGCGCCGCCAGTGACCACGGTCACTTCCAGCACCAACGACGGCGGCAGCAGGGTCAAGGTCACCGTGGGTCAGGGCAGGGAGAAGATCAAGCTGAAGGCGCGGCCGGCCATCGACCTGGACGTCAAGGCACTCACCATGGACTTCTTCAAGAGCGGGGTCTCTATGGAGGACAAGGTAATCAGTGGGTGCCACCCTTCTCGGTGGATGCCTGAGCCGAACGGGTGGCGCGGTCGTTGGCTGAGCTCCCTTTCCCGTTTGCCGATGTGTACTATTAGTCCGTTCCCTCCCCAGCCTCTAGTTTGAATCCCCAATTGCGTAACGATCAATCGTAACAAATCGACTACAGTTATCAGTGGGTTGTACGTTTAAAATATCCCACGCACGACTGAGGTATCGCCGTGTTGTGACGCTCATCGTTCCAAAATTTCTCTTCACAGGATTTCATGGTGATCAACGACCAAATCGACAAGGTCACCAAGACCATCGATGACGTATTCAAGACGTTCTTCGCGGCTGACGAAGAATTCACCAAGAAAAAGGGAGATGTGAAACGAAACTTTGCGGATGCGTCCAATCGATTCAAGGATATGGGTATCAAATATCCTGATTTCCAGTTTGCATATTGATTCATCGACGCCTCACTCCATTGACGGTTACGCATTACCGTATATGGCGATGGAAATACCGAAAGTTGTATGATCAGCGACTATGCTTCACAGGCGTTCCAGGTGAATTGGGCTTTATTTCAACTTTGAACGATGATCAGGCGCGGGCGACGGAGTCGCACACTGACATTTGAGGTAGTTACGTCGACTGGCTTCCCGTGTTCTCTCAAGGGTCAGATGGTAAAGGGATTTCCAACAGGTTTCTAATGTGGAACTTCAATAAGTAATCAATATTTGGTACCACTTCAAAATGGAGAGAACTTTAAATGTAATCCATAAGTGTATTTCGTTGACTTCAATTATGGATAACCGTGAAATCAACAGGCCAATCCGCTGTCCTAGGGTGAGGCAATAAAGGCCGCACCATATGAACTGACTTATCAGGTGTCGTAACGTCACGTGAGTAAAATAAATGAGATCGATATAGGTACAGCTGAGATCATGCGTTTCAAATAAACGCAACCATCACGCGTGCAGTAGTCGATGCGTTGTCGCAGTGAACACACAGTAACCACATCGGGAGCCCGCAGCAGAAGTCGAGGCACAGCCGTGGACGGACTAGATTACAAATATATCACACGAAACCCACTTATATCGTGGCGGCGTCTGCTGTGGCTGGGATGGTGTGCGTGCCGTGTGCTGTATGTGGGGTGCCGCCGAGGATTTCCTGCTTGACTAGATATCCGGCGCGGCGGTCGGCGGGGAGCGTTCAGATGACTGCGGTCTCTAGCCATCCGTTTGAACGCCGCCCAGCCGGTTGATCTCAGCCAGCTCGTGCGTCTTGGGCGACACGTACTCGGTGGCCAGCGACCAGACGTGCACGGCGCCCTTGGCGTCGCCGGTCGCCAGCAGACTGGGCCTGCGGGAGACGCGGACACGACCGTCAGAGGGTGGAGTTACAGCACAGGGCTCGGCCGGGCGGGAACTAGTCATAAAACGGTCCATAAGACCGTAAAGTCATAAACAGAGACCCGTCGGCTGATCTCACAGACACAACACACCTCCGACCAGTTCATCGGGGACTTGGGGGACCAAGCAATCCACACAACAGTCCACCCAGTCAGTAAAACAGCCCATCTCGTCCCCGACTTAATTAAGTCCCACTCTGGCCATCAACAAACCACCCTTTCCCCGTTCGCTCGCTGTCGTTACTGCGTACCCCGTCCGCTCACCGTACTTTGTCGTTACTGAGTGTCCCCCGTCCACTCACTGTTTGTCGTTACTGCGTGCCCCGTTCGCTCACTGTTTGTCGTTACTGCGTGCCCCGTCCGCTCACTGTACATTGTCGTTACTGCGTGCCCCGTTCGCTCACTGTTTATCGTTACTGCGTACCCCATCCGCTCACTGTTTGTCGTTACTGCGTGCCCCGTCCACTCACTGTTTGTCGTTGAGCCGCAGCGCGGTGACCACCAGCGGTTTCTCGTGTAGTCGCATGGTGTGCAGTGGCGCGCCGCGGCGGGTGAAGTCGAACAGGTGCTGCTCGCCGCTGCCAGTGGTGACGAACACGACCAGCGGCCGGGAGGGCGAGAGCGCGGCCGCCGTCACCTCCGCCTCCAGACTGATGGACAGCAGCGGAGAGATCTGGAACGCAGCACCCTCAGTGAGCAGGTAACGCGAAGGGTCTTGAAAGTAAGCACACTGCATAGACGTCTCATTTTGCATTGAGACTATCATTTTACTTTGTGAAGAAGGTGGTACTCACAAGCTGATATTGAACAGCGTCCAACTGAAACACCAAGTGACTGTGCCATAACCAAAAAATGAAACCAACTGTGCTATAACCCAAAGCTGGCGCTTCAGTGAGAAAAGCATACAGCCTCGCAAAAGGATGACAGAGCTGAGGAGAGGCCGGTTCAATTCCCATAGACACCGTCCACTCCGTACCTGTAGTGTGTTGTAGACGCGCACTTCGTTGTCCGAGCCGGCCGATATGAAGATGTTCCTGTGGAACTTTGAGCACTGCAGCACCAGCACCTGGCCCTGGTGCGGCTCGAACGTCGACGTCACCGGGTTTAGAAGGCCCTCAGTGCGCTCACCGGTCATCGCTGCATGGTGCAAATGGAGGGTCACCGGGCTGCAGAGCGGATACACTGCCTTGTGTTACAAAGCTGAGACGGACCAAATACTGGGCCATAATGAAGAAAGCAATCAACCATTTGATGATAGGCCGTACACGTTTAAATTTTAAAAGGTATTACCGTTATACACTCAAGTGTCTTTGCATTGTGACAAAAGAGCATTGGAAAAATACACGATGACAAAACAATGACAAAAACAAAACATTCAGAAACAGATGTTCTCGGCCGCCGGTGGCCGGCTGGGATTGATCCTGAAGTCGTCAGTCGTCACTCACCGGCGATGGGCACCCCTGGATCCCATCACTTACCGGTGATAGGCACCTCGGAGGCGAACGAGCAGAGGAACACGCCGCCGCCCTCTGACCCGATGGTGAACTGGTCCGGGTTGTCGTGGCTAAAGGCCAGTGCCGTCAGCCCAGCCTCTGAGTCAGCTCTGGCGGCGCGCCGGCCGGCCGAGCGCGGCACTTGGCCAGCCATCAGCTGGAACCTGCGGGGAAAACACAGGTGTGTCAGATTTGGTGGGAAAAGTGCCTCGGACGTTGTTTCATGTTTGAAATTTAGCCCACAGAGATAGCTGTTAAGGTGGCAACTTCGTCGGTTTAAGAAAAAAAGAAAATATGACAGCATAACGTCTTTAGACGTTTCGACTTCTATGCGATAAGTATTAGGTACCCACGTATCAACTGATCAACAATGTCGTGAAATGCAGGTAAGTTTCTTCAAAGATCAAAGAACTTCGAACTAAGCAATGCGGGCCAACAAGCGGAGTTCACTGGGCTGGCCCTACATATTACATCCCCCCCCCCCTCCAATTTGCCCCATCCCGCGTCTGCCTCACTGTTTGACCAGCTGCAGCTGCTGTTTGGCCTCGGAGTACTTCCAGACGAGCATGCGGCCGTCGCGCGAGGCCGAGACCAGGCTGTAGCCGGCCGAGCGGGCCAGCCAGTGCAGCGCGCTCACCGGCTCGCGGTGGCCCTGGATGATGCCCGACGTGGTGCCCAGCAGCGGGTCCTCCTCACGGGACAGGTTGTACAGCTGCAGCTCGCCTAGCAACACATAATCGACGTCGTGGAACTTACACTGCACAGCAATGGATATCCAGACAAGCATGAAAGTGCAAACTATATTTAGTTCATTTATACAAACAATGACGTACCGAATTTGGGTCAGCTTAGCCTCGGGGGACGGGAGAAAGAAGTGCCCGAACCTGCGTCCTGCACAACATACTACGGTTTAAAATAGTAATGCTGCACGTCCGCGACCCACTCATCCCTAGACCGGGTGGCCTTCAGCGTGCTACTGACCTGTGACCATGCCGACGGCGAGGACGCTCGGCTCGCTGGGGTGAAACCGGCAGTAGCTCGCGCAGGAGCGCAGCTCCAGCTTCTGGTACGGCTGGTTCGGGTTCAGATCTTTCCTGAAAACGATGAAAATGTATTAATATTGCATGCGAATTGGCTCGACTGATATTCAAAGATGACATCATTGACAGTAAAACGACTCATTCTTACATATCATTGTATTGCCCTTCAACATAATGACACTCAAATAAAAAAATCACGCTCATTTTCTTTTGAAGATGCTAGTTCTTGTGCTTTTTTTCAGACCGACATCCGTCCGCTATCCGTCCGCTGGTTATGTGTATAATGGTTATGTTATGTAATAGGTTTGCGTAAACCTTAGAACGAGGCTCGCCTGCCCGTCCAGTTACCTCGTACATCTGGTTATGACGGACACCCCAGGCTGACCGGAGGAGTGCCCAGGGCGACTAGCGGCGCGCACTCACCGGTGTACGTTCCAGAGCGCCAGTGAGGTCGAGTGTTCGCACCAGGACTGGTGCTCGCCGGCGCCGTACCCCACAGCCACCACCGAGCCGGTGCAGCTCCACGACAGGCACGACACCTGGTCGCCAGTCTGACGCACGCGGGTGACACACACACGGTCAGTATCGGCATTAGGCACCCGCGAACCGGTCAGGTGCAGGTCGCAGAGGGGAAAAATAATAAAACACGACGTCTTTATGGAACATGTGCTGCAAATAATCTTACCTCATGTTTTTAGGTGAATTAATATAATAACCAATCATTGTAAGCTCCAAATTAGAGCAATGAATATTTCCACCCAGATTGGATATACACCCAGGGGGGGGGGGGGGTCAGTCTTACGGTGCCGGTGTCGGCCGGCCGGCCGGCCAGCCGCAGCGTCAGCAGGCGCCGCACCGGCTGGTCGTCATCCTCCTCGATCAGCTGGTAGCCGTCGAAGGCGCGCGACTTCTCCGAGCGCTCCAGCTCGCGCAGCACGAGCGGCACGGCGCGGCCGAGGAAGGCGACCAGCGAGGGCTGCACGGCGGCGTCGGCGGGCGGCACCACCACCTCCGGCTCCGGGTCCGTCTGACTCTGCGGGGGCGGCAGACCACACTCAGAATCTGCTTCTAAGAGCTGCATGGCCAGTGGCGTGCCTGAGGGCCGCTGAGATATGGTGCAGACTTCTCTCACAGTCCCACTAGGTACTGCTGCATAGGCTATCAGCTTAAACTGCTGATGGAAATACACCTAGAAGTTGAATCAATGCCTGAGCCTGAAGAAAAAGTTTGAGAAAATAATCATGGCCAGTTATTAATGTCAAATGACAGTAAAGGTTTGCATTTGAAAAACAACAGAAAATATACCTCTTTTTCATCGTGGCCAATTGTCTGGGTTTCACTCTCCTCTATCTTCAATGGTTCTGTTTGAGAGCCACTCTCTGACTGTTTGCTGAAATAAAAAGAAGCATATAAAATATAAATTCAATTCAGACCACACATTCAGATAGCATGTATTCTAAACTTACTAGAATGTAATGTAGATTGTCCAACCTGGAACACAAGAATCAGAAATAGGACTGTGCAGTCAATTCTTTGGTTCCAGATAATACTTTCCAGGAAAAGTGAGATACATGTTCTGAGACTCAACAATAAAAACTGTGCCTGGTTGCAGGCAGACACTATTAAAACAGATTTGCTGGTAAAAAGCATTAGCACAGTACTTTAAAAATTAAAAGGCTTCAATCTCATGATGCATACTAATGTGTGACCTTGTTTCACTTGGAACTATTGAGAGGAAAGATGTGCTTACAAACAATTTGCTCACCTTTTAGCCTTCCATGATGATTTAAATCCTATTACATCAAAATTGACATCCTTAAATTTAAGCATGTCAGTTTTATGGGACAAGGAGCTTCTATTTCACTGACAGCTCTGTGGAGACAAACAGGATGTCAGTTATCATATTGCACATGCTTAACTTAATTAGTAAAGTGGGGTATCATACCTACTCCTCATCCATTTTCAGCCATTATGCTGGCAGCAATTTTCAAAAGTAAAAATATTCAACAAACAAGTACCTACACCAATATATACCAATGCACTAATCAAGGAGGTTCCTGCCAACTTTAAGCTTTCTTGAAAGCATAAGTAGACTTACATTTTTAAGGTGCTTATAAATCACCTATCCACCACAGAAAATATAGTTGCCTGGTGTATAAAAATGTCAAAATTAGAGCTGCCCATACAGTATAGTCTGTCTGGACTCTGAAGACCTAACTCCAACTGTCAACTGTAGTTCCCACCACCAGGACAAACACACTTTCAAGTTTCACCACCAATAGTGGTATGCTCTAGCAATTTAACCACAGGTCATGCTGGTATACTGGGATATTGGAAAGCATTTAGGATCAGAAGAATCTGTGGTTTTCTCCCTCATTACTGAGCTGTCATTGTTTTCTTCTTTTCCTCCATTCCATGGTATGAGCCATATTTAGCTTATATTACTTGATAGCTTTTTTGATGCAGTTACCACCCACCAAACAGCCACTTCTGAAAAAAACCTTCAGCATGACCAATGTTGCAGAGAGGCAAGTTAGCCTATTATATAGTATCCTCATTGGTTAAGTGTTGGTGCAGAATATATATCATTTCTTACAACTCTTTAGTGCCCTGGGCCTGGACCCTGTTTCACTGCTTAATGCTACCCAATGCTCCTGGTGTCATGGTCATGGTATTGGGTTTCAGTTTACATGGAAAGTGGAAACATCAGCAAACTGATGTGTGACCAACCGACATCATCCCATGTTGAGTACCAGAATTTTTAAGTTTTCCATAGAAACCAAACATCATGATACCGCTAACATCACATAGTGTCATACAGTGAAATAGCCCCCCCCCCCCCCACTTTATGGATGACAGTGAAAACAGGGCGCCTGGGACGATTTGATCAAGGCTCTTGAAATTTACTCACACAAACCACGTGACAATTACTGTGTAGAAGGCATCGAGAGGGAGAGAACTTCTCAATAGACAAAAGTCACGTGACCAAATATGCCCTCCGGGCTCCTGCGCCCTGTTTTCACTGGCAGTGGCGTCCCCGCTTTTAGCTATTTCAATCCAGACAAAATAGCAGCATCAAGATGGCTAATTAGGATTTGGGAATGCCCATGGGGGCCATGGTGGTCTCAAGCTGATTCAGTGGGAGAAACTAAAATGTGTGATGCGCCATTTCTGTCGCATTCTTCCATCTCGGATTTACTTTTCATAGGATAATTATTACATCACAAAATTGTTAAGCTACTGGTTATGAATTATATATTTTTTCGCTCAATGTAGCTAGATTATATCTAGATTATAAATTAAAGCATTTTTGATTAATTTTGTAGTACGTTAAAGGATGCAATCCTTCTATGAACGGCTTGACATCGATAAATCCTTTTGAGTTGATGACGTAAGAGTAAAGAATAAATCCAGCAAGACCTTATACAAGTTCCTCATATTTTGTCGCCTTGATCCACGACTATCACAGTGCTGGCCCACGCGGTGCGTTGTTGGGGGACTCGTTGCAGTTGTTGTTGCAGCTGAGAGGGGTTGTGTGATGTGTGGTAGTTACTAGTTACTGCTCCCCCAATTCGTGTGATACAGTGATAATATGGGTGCATTGTGATTTTTTATTACTGGCAACTTGGGAAATGGCTGAGAACGGACGTTATCCTTTGCATATTGAAGATGAATCAGATTCGGACGCTGAAATATTCATCGCGCCCACTCCGATTCCGGCAAAATCGAAATCAAGCACAGTTGCAATAGATTCAGTTCAGGATGCGTCGGCCCGAACATCGTCTGCTCCCGGTGAGTACCGAAATCCTGTAGTTGTATCATCCATGATAAATCGTATTGGTATTCTTCATGAGAATCGCATGATTCTGTGGGCGTTTTACACGGTGTGCGGAACTAGATTGCACACTAGGGTGACACTTATTTTTGAACTTTTGATTTTTCAGGAGCGAAGGCCTGGATATGGTGTGAAACCATGCGAAAATACCTCCTGTGAATTTTCACATCGATCGAGCATATTTAAGAGGTGTCCCAAAGCCAATTTATTGGAAACATACACCAAAAATAAATAGCGCATTTTAATTCAATTTTTGATAAAGTACACACACATGCAATTTTGCTTTAAACAAATCGTTGGGGGTGTAAGACGTCGATGAAAAATTCCCACCCCTCAACAACCGATAGCAATTTGTTAAAAAGATACACCTGGCACGCGCTGTCATGAAGGCACACCACCCTGACCGGCGTGTATTAGCCTCTGACTGGGGGTTTCATGGGAGCCTAAATCCCACTCACTGATGCTCAGCTAACGTCCAATAGCGCACGTCTGGGAAGCGCCGATGTTACCCGACAAAAAGTCAAAAAGACACACTGACACACAAAAAGGCACACCACGCTGACCGTGTATTAGACCGTCGATGGGGGTCTCGACAAAAAGTAAAAAAGGCACACCTGGCAAACAAAAAAGCACACCATGCTGACCTGCGTGCATTCGACCCTCACGGGGGGGGGGGGGGGGTCTCATAGGAACCGAAATCCCAATCACAGTTACTCATCTAGTGTCGACTTGCGGACGTCGGGGAAACGACGTCGATGTTCCTCGACGACCTGGAGAATGAACTGTCTTTGTTCCTTATCCTTCGTGAGGATGGCGCTGTAGCTCTGAATCAGAGTCACGCCCTGTTCGGCAAAATCGTTGACAACCTTGATGGACTCGGCTCGGCGGCGGGCGAGCTGGCGTTCCGGCCAATCGGCCAGGTTCACCTCAAGGAAGTCCGACGGGCCAAAGACGTCCACGAGAAACTTAAAGCTTGACGAAGCAAAGTTCGGCAGCGTCTTCCTCGTCAGTACAGTCAGGTCAGGCTCCAGTGAAATCCGCTTGGGCGGATCTTCTGCGCCGTCGCGGCCAAATGCAGCCACGATCAGCCACTTCTCCTCCAGCATGGTCCTCAAGTCGAACAGAGCGAGCGACACCAGCTTCTCGGAGATGTACCAGAGATGTCGCCCAAATGCCTTCGATGCTTCCCTTGCGATTTCCTCGTCCTCGTAGGATAAGAGTGAGCAGTATAGAAAGCTAGGTCCTGGGCCGGATCATGGGCTGCCAGCGGGGCTCCGTACCACGCCGGTACATACAGCGTCGCGAAGAAGACGAAGCGGGCCAATTTCTTCTCCACCGCCTTGGTGAGCTTGAACTGTCCGCGGAATAAGAAGATCTTCAATGCGTATATCGGTTTGCCCATCCAGCGAGCGCGGTGGTAGGCTCCGGGTTTGGACCACCTGATTCTTCCAGGGGGAACGCCACCTAAGACAACGATCGTCAAGTTGAGGAGTTCTCGATAGTCATCCCAAGGCTGCGTACTTTGAAGTTTCTCCTTGCAGAACATAATGACTTCGTCACTGGTGGAAGGGATCGGCTCGATTGGCTCGAACATCGCCTGGTCGATGGATTCCCATTCGGCTTTGAAGCGTTTAAATACATAGTTGGATATCGGGCCCAGACGACGGTGTGAGACAGGCGCCGAACGATTTGTTGGCCACGATCTCAAGAATATGGTGCCGGCAGGCCAGGTGGAGGAGATTCCGCCCGAGTCGCTGTTGGACGTAAGTACAAGCTCCGCCGCGCACGCCGGTGTTGGAAGCGGTAGTGTCGAAAGACATTCCCACAAAACGCGTTCGGCGACGCCCCAATCCTCCAAGCAGCTGACAACCGCAGTGGCAACATCGTCACCCTTCCTGCTGGGCAAGCGTGGGACTCCCATGAGCTTGTTAACGCCATCCCCAGAAACGAGGATGGGAAGCCGCTCATGAGATGCTTTTGTGTTGGTGATATCGGCGACGATCTTTCCGTCCCAATGGACGACGAGGGGTACGCCCAGAGCAAACGTCTTCCGGATCTCCTTCGCCACATCCTCCCTGACGCGCCTCCGGTGTCGTCGTATCGACTCCCGGTTGACTACAAGGTTCTGGGGGATTGAGTTGTACGCCTCAGCAGCAGCGTGGAGGATGTGGACAGCACTCCGGTCAGATGTTCTTGTTCGATCGAGCGCAGCTGTAATCTGCGGGTTCACCGCCGAGGCTCGAGCTAGCGACGTGTTGGGGGGGGGGGGGAGGAAGCAGAGGGCATCAGGCGCCATAATGGCTTTGGGGCACCTCTTAAATATGTCCGATTGACCTGAAACTTCACAGGAGGTGTTTTCTCATGGTTTCACACCATGTGCAGGCTTTCGCGCGTTGAAATTTTCATTTTGGGATTTCCCCCTACAAATAAGTGTCACCCTATTGCACACCTTCCAGCAGGTCCGTGTCAGCAGTCAGTGCGCTCGTATCTTATCTCACCCGTGTATTTCTTGACCACACTGGTCACTCCTCTGTTGAAGGGGTAAGCCCAGAGCCCCAGACACCGCCCTCCAACACCCCAGTTCAAGTTTGAGCTCAAGCTGTCACTGTCATCCGCCCTTTTCGCGCTTTGCCGCGAATATCAATATTGAAAGCTGAGATGATGAAGATAACTCGATTTTGCGACATGCTCAGAACTGAACGCAATTGACAGCAGTAGGTAACATGTACCAGGGCTGCGGAGTCGATGGATTTTTGGTGACTCTGACACCAATTCTGAATCCGGCTTTCTAAAACCCAACATTGACTTCGATTCTGGGCAGAAAGAACTGTCGACTCCGACTGACTCGAACTCCACCTCTGCAGCCCTGCCATCTCTGCGGAGTTGATGAATTTTCGGTGACTCCGACTGCGACTCCGGTTTCCAAAATCGGCTTCGATTCCGACTCCGACTCAGGTCAGAACTGTCGACTCCGACCGACACCGACTCCGCAGCCGTGCACTGAACCAACAGAGGACCGTCCAGGGCTGCTGACTGGCTACGCTTCTCGTTTAGTGATGAGTCAGTTTTCTAGCTGATGCACCCGACGAATTGACAGAACGGACACAGTGGGGTGATAGCAGCGCTGAATATCCCTCCACCGAAACAGTGAAGGAGGCTCTGGACATCCATGGGTCTGGGTCTTGGCCCATGGTGACTGATGAGCTATTAGGTTTTGTCAGAGCTGCACGTCCTCGCAATAAGACGTGGTGGCCGAGTGCTGGTACTACGTGGATCGTGGAGGAAGTAGGTACTGAAGAAGACGGCAACGAAGGCAATGCGGCGAAATAAAAAAGGGACCGCCGGCACCGACTTTGATCAAACTTCTCATAGCTGTCTGAGATGAGACGGAGTTCTAGGTTATCAATATGCGTCGCGATCACCTAGCGGTGGTGCCAGGACAACTTTCCGAGGTTCTACAGAAGGGTAGTTCTAGAAGCGCGTGTGGCCGGATGATAGTCCTGGCCCGTCGCCTATCGAGAATGTGTGGGACGTCGCTAAGGACCACCTGGATATGATGAAACCGACCGACCACCTTCCAGGAGCCGCCTATCATGAATCCCCCAGAGAGTATCCTAAATATAATCATCGTTGTACTCGGCGGGCCCCAAAGCCCCAATACCTTACCAAACAGCCAAGATTATTGTGCGATCAATATCCAGACACCCTTTGTGTACTTCAGCGTACGATATCCTTTGTAACTATCTTTCACAGTTCGTGGCTCGCGCCACTGTCGTCATCCTTGTATCATATGTGCCTCGGTATGCGGTGCCGCCGGTGGAGGTCTTCGGGCGGCTGGGAATGTGCTTTTGGGAGGTCACGGTTGAGGCCCTGTTTTGGAACGGCAAGCATGGCTTCATGCCCCTGGGCTTTTGTCCTTTGAGTGTAAGACGTCTCTTTGAAACCTATAATGCCTTTGGAGGTGCATGCATATGGAATGAAACGAATTCCAGACAATTCTGGAATTGTCCTTGATCAATCCTTCTCAGCCCCGGCTGGGACCGCTTACGACTTCATTCATTCTTCCGTAAGTATTTTAACGTGATTCCTTCCACGTGTGTGTGTATAAAAGATCAATGTCTCTTTGTCGATTTTCGGTTGCACTCTGATGCTTACAGGGAATAGTCCTCTTTCCTTACCGTTAGCGACCCAAGTGCCTTTTACCTCTTACAGTTTTTTTTTCAATTTACTTCAAGATGGTCTGTGTTTAGAGTCTGGAGCTTATTACGAAATATGAACCTTTTAAATATTTAAAGCCTTTTGTCAATTGTTAAGTATCACTTGCAAGTGATTTCGGAATCACGAATTTACCCGCCCAGGGTAGTGGAAGATGTAACACTGTAACGTATACCAGTATAACGCCTTTTGGGGCGACCAACGGAGCGAGCGAGAGGGTGAGCCTTGCACGTGCGAAATTTCGAGGGGGTACCTCCAGCTGACTTGTGCACGGCACCCTACTAACCGGTCTCCAGCGATGTGCCAAATTTGAGCACAATCGGCCCAGCCGTTCTCGAGATCTGGAAGGGGCACCCTGCACGTGCGCACGTGCAAAATGGGTCCCAACTGACTTTTGCACGGCACCCTACTAACCGGTCCCTAGCCATGTACCAAATTTGAGCGCCATCGGTCCAGCCGTTCTCGAGATCTGGAATCGACCCCTGCACGTGCGCACGTGCAGCAGCACCCCAACTCGGGCACATGGACATGCATTGCCTAGTGGGTGCCTACCTACATGCCAACTTTCAGCGCAATCGGCCAAGTAGTTACCGAGATATTGCAACAATTACAAAAGTGACACCTCTTCGTTTTGCACGTGGCACGTGCATAAGGGGTCACCCACATGCACCGGGAATAGTCCAATACTTGGTAGAAGGAATGAAGCTACCCTACAAAAAATACCGCATGTAAATCGGTCAAGTGGCTGCTGAGATATAAGCGTCGCAGAATCGTGACCACGGCCGGCCGGCCGGCCGGCCGCTCATATTCAGAAATTTCCGTTATTCTACGTAAGACTCCGCTCGCTTCGCTCGCTCCGTAATCACACAAAATCGTGCACATAATGTCCCTGAATGCATCCCAACTTCTGATCATATTTTGGCAAATAACTAACCGGGGCCGGGTGTAACGTAAAGCGTTTGCGAGCACATCAAATGATTGTATCAATAAGTGGTTTTGGGAACCGCTTTTTGAAGTATGTTTTTGTTTTGACAGGTGCTGGAAGAGAACGAAACATGAGGACATCTAAGCAGGAAGATGTGATGAGTAAAAGTGTTCTGAAACCGGGTTTCGAACAACAACACTCTGTACCAAGGAGATCTCGAGCGATGGAAAAGAAGAAGGGCCGTCTGGAAAGAGCCAAAACTGCCGGTGAAGGCTGGTATAACATGAAGGCGCCCGAGCTCACTGAAGAGGTCAAACAAAACCTCGAAGTTCTTCAAATGCGAGGAGCGATTAATAAGAACAGGGTGTACAAGAAGAGTGACATGCGAACTCTGCCCAAGTACTTTGCGATGGGAACGGTGGTGGAGCACGCGACCGACTTCTACAGCTCGAGGATTCCCAAGAAGCAGCGGAAGAAGACGCTGGTTGAGGAGCTGATGGCTGATGTCGAGGCCAAGAAACAACTGAAAAAGCAGGCGACCAAATTGGCCGTAAAGAAGCAAATGAAAGCCCAGAGCCAATCTGGGAAGAAGAGGAAACCTTTCAAAAGGCGAAAGGTAGAGATGGACTAACTGTTTCATGCAAGGAAAAACATGCAAAATAATAAATACACATGTCGCGAGTGTTCAAAGGTCTTCTGTTTTTTATTAGCTGCGGCTGTAAGCTACGCAGCTTTTTTATTAGCTGCGTGACGCGTGACGGCTGTACCTTCAGCCCTGCTCTACCTACGTACCTAATCATTTTATGAACGCATTCACAATACACATACACTAGTCAGTAACCGGCACATATGTGGTATGCACACACCATTCACGGCCAGTCCATTTTTAGCGATTGAATGCCTGGAACGCTCTGAATAAATATTTACTAGCAGCAGGCGTCGCCCGGAAAATGGCATCCATGGGGCTTCAATTAGACGCTGCAGCCACTTCGATCTGCTCACTCGGCATTCAAATATAGCGTTACACGGCCGGCTGTGCGATGAATCTGTTTGCCGCCCTCAACATCATCGATCTTTTCTTCTTTGTGCGTTGTCACGCGTTTCATCACGCATCGGCTGATAAGCATTCGTCGCCACCAGTCGTTATGCCCAAGATTACTCTATGCCGTCCTTAGGCCAAGACGGCACTAGAGAGGGGTGGTTACGACTTACGAGCCCGGAGCCCCCATCACGTTTGCCCCCTAAAGCTAAAGCTTCACGAAGAAAGCAAAAGAGGAACGCGTTGCTCTACACGAGAGTAAGCCAGACGCCAGAAGAATACTCATTTGGGCGCAAAATGACCTTGCAGTGGCAGGCCCCTATCCCCCAACAAACGAACTAAGAATGCTCATTTTTTGGCCTCAGGTCAACTGGTGAGCTCAAATGTCAGGTCAAATAAAACGGTGTTTGATTACGCAACACTAGTTGGTCATCTGTTTATAACAATCACAGTTATTGTGATTTTTTATCAGATTGGCATGGCTCATTGCATTCGCTTACCTAGCCTAGCCGTGAACTAATACGTTTACCTTTTACCAATGCGGTCTGATGTAAAATGACTTTTTTGTGGGTAAGCCTGCGCTAGTTCGCGAAATTCGCCCCTCTATCATTTCAAAAATTGACATCCTTATGCTTTCGTGAGGCATGCATTTGGCATGATGAGCCAATGTTGACCGTTACTGGCACGTGAGAAAATGATATTTTTATGTTTTCTCTCGTTTGCCTTATATAAGTCATCAATGGTATGCAAATTTCGTGTGATACATGCCAACGTCGATGATTATTGCCCGGCTGATGCGAGCTCTTAGTGTTTGACGATTTCCAGAGCAAGTGAAGACAGCTGTGAAATGGCCTGGAATCACTCCACGATTCTGATGTTTAGACTGATCAGCTTTGGAGCGCGTGTCTCTCAGCTCTGTATCCATTGAAGGCTAAATTAGGTCAGCGCTGAATCCTTGCAGTCGTAATTCAGGGCACGAAATTTGCCTTCAAAAGAGAAGATATCAATTCTATGTATATTGAAGCATGTAAAAGGCATGTCGGGCGGGCGTGCGGAACGGGCTATAATCGAGAAGACCAAGGGGTGCGGTGCTGATTGCAATGTTGGTAGAACTACAATGAAAAGGGAAGCAAAGTAAAGAAAGTTATTGTCTTGAATATATTTCGAAAATTTACGAATGATGATCAGTCACAGACGAGAGAAGTTGAGGTGAGCGTTACTTGAAGCACAGGTACACGCCTAGCTGAGTGACTGCTCGAGCCAGCCGAGTACAGCCTCCTTCTCGTCCTGGCTCATCTTGCCGAGGCGGCGCGCTACGGCCGCCTCCAGCGACGGCCGCAGAAACTCGATAATCTCCTTGTGGTTGTCGTTGAGGTTGGTGGCTATCGTGGTGCCCATGCTGCCGAAGCCGCTGATGGTGACGTTGTAGCTGTCCAGCCAGAGCTGGGCGTGCGGCTCCTCCAGCTGTAGCTGGCCGTCGCTGACGGACCAGTGCGAGCCGACCATAAGGCGCGGGTTGTTCAGCTGCACCTTCACCGTCGCCCGGATCGGCAGGAAGCCGTAGCGGATCTTCCCCCGCATCTCCCCCGAGATCTCGGGGAACTCCACCTTGGCGGCGGCGGCGTTCTCCGTCAATAGCACTGAGTCGATCTGCACCTTCGACAGGCCCTTCATCTGTGCCTCAGATATCTCCAGCTTGTTGGAGCGCCCCTGGCGACCACCTTCTGGCTTGGGCATCTTCAGCGGCTCCAGGATCACCGTCTCGTTGCCCACCTGGAAGCCGGTGGAGAACCTGGGCCGCGCGCGGTCGAGCGCGTCGCGGAGGAGCTGGCGCACGCAGCTGCCCACGCCGCTGGCCTCCTCCGTCTGATCGTCGCAGTGGTTGAACAGGAACTGCAGCGGGCCATAGTCGGAGTCGGCGGCGGAGAGCGCGGGCCAGACGGCCAGCACCAGCAGCAGCAGCGGCGTGTACTTCATGTCGGCACTGCGAGGGGCGCACTGAGCGACCGAGTCTGGCGGGCGCGCTCAACCCACTGTCGGTCCCACCACTGGGCCCAGCCGCCGGCCTGGGGGCTCATATGGCCGCCGTCTGTTTGGGAGATGGGGCCAGCCCGCGCGGCAGGTGACGTCACACGCGGCCGCCAGATGTGAGGCAGCACCGAACTTAGACGTCATCCAAAACGGCCAGACCTGTCGGAAAAGCCGGCTGAAATTTCCTGTTTAGCGTAATGACCTCCATAGTTGTTTTGCTTGCCTCTGATATCCGACGGATGTCCCAGCGCAGCTTCCCTTCGGCAGCGGGTATTCCAACCTCCCTCTCCCCTCATCCCTGATCCCTTTTTATCTCATCTTCTCACCACAATCATGAAGCATTGTTAGACCGACTTATCAAACCGTAGATTGTTTGACCCCGATTCCCGAAAGCTACTGTTTTTTAAAACTCAAGCTACAAAACCAACTACTTAAATAATCAGACCAATTCCTGTCAGCCCATGTTGAAAGTGGGTCTTTGCTTTTCAGAGTGGCTGGTAAAAAAAAGGCATTTTTCTCCCGATCACGAGGCAAGATCACTCATATTATTGCATATGTATTTATTTACACTGACCCGACGGGGTCAAAAGAACGCACTCCATTATGGTACAGACTTTTCGCTCGTACACAGTACAGCTAAGACACTGTAATTTAAATACTACTCATTGTACACACAAAGCTTCACTTTCACGCTCTGAGCTTCACATTGTCATCATTCCTTTCACACAGCTATCACAATGTCCAGTTATGCATAACACGGCGCCAGCAAGCTACAAGACGTTCCATAACTAATATGCACACGCGAAGTAAAGAACGGACTTACATGGAGAAACGAAATCAACATCTTAACGCTATATCCCTAGTTAAAGTTAAATTAAACGAGTGACAAAGCAATCAGAGCATGATATCAAATGAGTGTTACACAGAGGAACATTGCAGTGGGACCATTCGCACAATACGATCAGCATAAACAGTCGACATAAGTACTCACACATTCAAAGAAGACAGACTGGCGCTTCGACACAGCTCCGTACTATCCGTCGTATTGGTTAGACATTTGATACATCATAGACTACGCGTGACTAACAACACGATGCATACAAGGCAGATAAGTGGCCCTATTCGCATTGCACCTAAGGCATGTTCTTGCGATTAATGAATAATGCGAAAAATGAAAATGACGCGTGGCGAATATGTGGTCTTGTGGTGACTAATCGTGTGTTTTCAGATGAAACACAAAAAAAATTGGAATTGCGTACCCGCGGCCAAAGTAATTAGGCCAATGGGATTAAGCACAATGTGCCATTTGTCGAGGCTGAGTGATATGTCTTCATTTCGCTATAACGTTAGTTAGCATACCTCGTATTTGCCAGCGTAGGTCATCGCGCAGCGGTAACTACACCAAGCTTGACAGTTGACACATGCATCATTTCCCTGTGCACCCCAAGTAACATCACACGATTTGGTATGTCCATTGTCCATCCAAATGATAACACGACATGGAGATGCACATTGCATATCACCAGCGAGGAACGTGGGATATAGGAGGCGAGAAGGACTAAATGTCTGATATGGACTATAGTTCGTTTTTCTTAAGTTTGCCCCTCACTGTAAACGTCCTTTTGAACACAGCACGAGAATCGCTAGCTGAATTACTGAGAAAACTGGTTAGCGCACATTGTATTGTAGATATGAATAATATTTTCAAAATAAGTTTTGAACACCGACGATTTAACGTTATGTTAAGCGCCGTGCAATTTATTTATTAGTTCGGACATAATTGCTGAGAAGTCGTCTATCCCTGTGGGGCTGTAGGCATTGGCAAATACGAGCCACGAGTCTGTGAAAAAGTAAATAAATTTGATGAAATTGATCGTCTGTAAAATCTGGTGAAATCAATGTGCGCCAACCAGTTTTCTCAGTAATTCAGTCAGCAATTCTCGTGCTGTGTTCAAAAAGACGTTTACAGTGAGGGGCAAACTTAAGAAAAACGAACTATAGTAAAGTCACTTGGGCTTCTACGCTCCACTCCCTTGTAGAACCTTGTCAAAGTCCTGCCTGTTAAGTACCAATCTGTGGCACTTCAGACAAAATGTTGGCAGTTCAGGTCATGGCATATTTTTCTTGTTGAGACTGTTGAAAACGCCGTTGGAATATAAATGACAGAGAGAAAAGTCGATGGAGGGGATCAATACCCTAGTTGAGACACCTCAGTCAATTTTGCCTCACGGCTCACTGAAGACCACGACTTGCCGTAGTAACTGGTACAAAAGTGACATAGCCGGACATTACATATCAACAATGTCGGGGGAAGCGCAGACTGCTATGGAGGCCGGTGTCAAACGCAGACGCTGACGCTGCATTGGAGTCGAGGGCCGCCTTTAGCTGAGATCAGGCCGCCTCTCGCCGCTCGCCCGAAGTGATGAGGACCTGCCAGTCAAAGAAGAACGTAAGGTTCGGGAATGTTGCGTATTTTCAGCGACGTGGGTCCTGATATGGTTAACAGTGCCATCTAGGCATGCCGTTTTGGCGTTCGCCTATTTAGCCTGGGTGGCGAGGCTTGGCCGATACAACCTAAAGCTCAATAGACCGGCGTCTTGAGTAAAAGCCATATG